CAGGGCCACCTGGAGCTGGTTGCCCAGGACTGTGCCCAGATGGCTTTTGAGTACCTCCGGGGTGGAGAATCCACCTCCCCTCTGGGCAACCTGTGCCAGTGCTTGGTCACCCTCACAGTGAAAAAGTGTTTCCTGATGTTCAGAGGAACCTCTCATGTTTCAGACTGTGCCCGTTGGCTCTGGTCCTGACACTGGGCACCACTGGGGTCCTCCTTCAGGCCCTTTTTGAAGATAGGAGTGACATTTGCTTTCTTCCAGTCCTCAGGCACCTCTCTAGGTCACCATGACCATTCAAAGATGTTCAACATGATGCCCATACATTCATTTGTGAGGTGGTTCAGGACATACCCTGAACTCTCTTTCTCTGTTTGTATGTTTTGGTAATTAGATTGTGGCCCTCAACTTCAGTAAATTTTATGTTTTATTTCTATTCAATTTAGTCATTTTGATGAGAAGATTACAACCTCTCTCCCTGGGAAGAGAAGTATGAAACCCCTAACTCTCTCCCCCGTGCTACTGGACTGTGAAATAATGCTTAAGTTCCCATGTTTGTCACGTCTTAAACACAAACCAGGTTTGTGGCTGAGAAGAAAAGTGAAGATTAACCAGCCAAGCTGCTGTTGTGTGAAAGGCAGTTAATAACAGAGCTGATTATTTCAGTAGTTCTTTGATTTTTCATTAAAGTCATGAGAAACAAAAAGACCTTTTTCACTACTTTAAATGTCAACATTTTAAAAATAATTTAAATATATTACCACTTGCAGAAGCTAACCTAAGACTATAGTGTCTACCCCAGCAGATGCCTTGGATCGATTAACCCATTTGGGAAGCATAACTCTCAGCTCCGCTTGACACACAGCCTGCTGCAGCCGGGCTGCAGCGTTAACAAACGGCGATTGCCTCACTACAGCCGCCATGCAGAGTGAGTGCACCGGCCCGCTTAACGCTGATTGAACAAGACACAACCCAGAAGGAAACAAGAACACTTAAGAGTATTTAAGAACTTAGTAATGTTAGTCTAGTGCAGTCATACTGGGGATAATATTTATTTTGGGTTACGGCCAAATGACAACATTATAGCCTCATTTAGGCAGTCTAAACCCTTCATATTTGATAAACACTTCCCCAGAATGCTTAATTTACTAAAAAACACAAGTAGAGTGCATCCAGCAGAAACGCTCTCTAGCCAAAACCAAAGACTTGAAAAGCTTTCCCAGATTAGGGAAATAATGCTGTCAGAAAAAAAAGCTTTAACAATAATTTGACTGACTTATAAATGTGACAGCATTAAGAAGTGAGGAGGAACGTAAACTTTCCAGAATGCCCTAAAGAAAAGTAAAATGTGAAGCATTCTTTTCTTTAGTTCAGTGCCAAAGCTTTGGTAGCAAGATGCTAATTTGCTCTCAATAGGCAGGCCTGATTTCTTCAGCATTTCCCTTTTTCCTCTTCTCATCACCTGAAGGCCTGGAATATGAAAGGGCGACAAGCCCAGGGGGATTTACCAGGTCCTGTTATAGCACATCAGTCATCACAAGAACATTGAACTATTTTCATTTTTCTTCCAACTCCACCTCATGATAAAGCAATTTTGCTTTCCAAGTATGTATAAGATTGTCATAGGAAAAAAAAACTTTCTGAAAAACAGATCAAGAAACAGACTGAGATCTGCCAACACCAAACACCTTCTCAGCTGCATCATCCAAAGAATTAATTGTGTGAGATTAAATCCATATGGTTTTATTAATTATCTTCGATCATCTGGTCCATGCTTCAGAGTAAAAATCACAACATTTAAAAGAAAACAGCACAGCATATACAGAAATTCCTGATTTGGGCAGTCAGATGAATGATGTAGTTGCAGAACTTGGCTTATCCTGGCCTCAGGATTCTCCACAAAATGATGGATTTACACTTACGGCTACACGATCTCAGAGCCTCAGTGTGCTGCATCAGTAGCACTCGTTAGGTTAATGTTAGGAATACACGTAGTATAGTGAAGTGGTAAGAGTATCCCAGGTGGTGGTGCCTAGGCACAATGCCGCAGGAGCTGCTGGGGTGGCTTTACACTTCCTTCATGTTAGTAGAAATTACTATCCTCAAACACAAAGAGTGGTCTCCAAACAAAAAGTCAGATGCATGCAACTGCCCAAACCAAGGCACATGCAAGAATCTGAACTATGTGGATGAGGAAACCTCACTGTGCACTGTTCAAGAAGAATTAATTGTCCATACACTCGTGTGCATGTGGCAGCAGAAAACGCAAAGAGAAGGAGCAAAAAAGCATGTGGCCATGAAGAAAGAGGGAACCCCTGGGGATAGGGGGCAAGTAGCAGAAAAGTGTTTGCATTTGTTACTCTGCTGTATGGACAGCACTAGAAATACCCGTTCACATTATCGATTTTGGCTCTGATAAAAGATTTGAACACAAAATGAAAACACTCTTATAGATGCAGAGCCGTGCGATTGTGCTGTCATGGTTGTTGAGTAATGAACAACATTGGTGGTTCCTCACGTTGCATTAAGGACAGGTAGTCCACACATATTCATGGCACATATAGGTATCACGAATATGAAACACAACCCCAACAGCCCACCACAAAGACATTTCAGATTTCTCTGCTCTGTCATTGTAATTCTTCATTTGGGAGTTGTACAGAATCGAGGCTGATGGGCACAAGCTACCCCAAATGGAGGTTCCTCCATGGGACAACTCTTGTCTGAACAGCTCCCAGGTCCAATAAATAACTGCCTTGAAGGTCACCCAAGATGAGCTGGGAGAACAACTGGTTCTCCAAAGGCCAAAACAGCTACCAACAGCCTGAAACCAGTGAAGGTTCAACCATATCATTTGTAAAACTGAGCTGTTTTATGTGAACCCATGGGTTTCCAAATAAAACACTAACCTGGGTTTGAAATAGCAACCCCTACAGTCTCTAAAAGCCACTTCTCTAAAGATTACTGAGAGGCAGATTTGAGAAAATCTCTATTTGATAGCCTACTGTGAAATAACTCTTAGCCTGCCCCCTCCATATATTCCCTCCCAAATCACTCTTATTTAAGCTTGATCAAGCATGCAGGATGAGTAACACTCAACAGACAGGATTTCTCTTTGATTTTTAAAAATTATTTCTGGCTTCTTAAAAAGGTCTTATTTTCCTCCTTCAGTGCTAGTATAAGTCTTTACCTCGAGGCTAACACCCAATGAAACTAATGTTCAAACTCCCCTAATTAAAATCACTGAGATGAATGAGCAAATTAAAGTAACAAAATAAGCTCATATTGCTTGCTTCCTCTGTCTTGCTGGGATCCTTACTGATTTCAGCCACAAAACTTCAGCTTGCAAAACTATAAAAGGATCTGCTAAAACATGCCCATTCCCTTCAGAATGATTATGCATTTTCCATGTGATTCCTCCTAGTATTTTGGGCAAATAAATGCCTTACATTAAAAATATTCTCCTTGACAGATCACACACGAGATGTATTTTGGAGATGTTGATGTCTGCACTATACCTCTCTTCTCAGTGTTACAAAAGGGCAAAGGTAGGAAAGCAGTTTTCTTTTGTTTCTTTTGTCAAGATTTTATTTGGGGCAGAGAAGAGAGAAAGAATCAAACCACTGTGTCATAGCACTGTGGTGCACTGTGGTTCCAGGTAAACAGGCACTTCAGCTTTCTTTTCCTTTCGCTTTTCTTTCTGTACGCTTTCAACAAAAGACCATAAGACAACAACCTTGAAAAGAGAAATGACAATGTTTTTGGAAAAGACCTCTAAACAGATTAAAGCTTTTGTATCCTGTTCTAAATTAATCTTGTTGGACCATATGAAGACTTGCAGAGTTTGGGTGCTTATCTGAGCCAATCTAACCAAAATGCTCACACTTTCTGCTCTCTGATGCCACCTCACCCAAGTATCCCTCAGATGCAGGCAAGGAAAGGGGTGCGTGAGCTGTGGCAGCCTGGAGCTGGCTCCCTGGTACGCTGCTTGTTCAGGGATCCCTTAGCTCCTCTTCCCTCACGTGACTCAAATACCAATATACTCAGTCATGAGAGGCAGAAGGAGCTGTACCATCCTTTAGAGGCTCCATCACCGCTCACGTGGCCTGCTCCAGCAGAAAGATGAGGTGTCTGCGGATTTGAGTAATATATGCTTAAGCCAGTGTGCAATTTGCTCAATTAGTACATATAGAGAGAAACACATTGATACCAGGCAGTCACTGCAGACAAACAATGCACACCACCTTAACAAATCTCATTGTATTCCGACATTCGGAAAAAATACTTTAACAGGCTTTCTTTTGTAATTCAGTGGTGCAAATGGCAATTTCACTTGCCCTCAGCATATCTGCTAGGCACGATGCAGATTGCAAACGACTGTGCAGAATTCAGACTTGGATATGCCAGAAATCAACAGAAATGCTCTCTGATAGCAAATGCTCCAAAAAGATACTGGAAACACCATAGCATGATTCTATGGTTGTGGGTTAAAATACCCATTATATTTATCTTCAAAATCCTTACATAAACGTAAGACCTACACTTGGTCTACTATATTGAAACAGTTTATTTTCATTTGTATTGACAACCAGAAAAAAATTACTATTATGCATTGGAAGTGAGAGCTCCAATTAAAGCAAAGAATAATCTCTAGTTCTTCATGGAGATGGAGATAAAAGCACAACGTGTTATAACAGAGATTAAAAACAATAACTGCAGTAAACATTCTCCACTGAAACTTCAAAATCAGGAACCCTTGATATTCTGTACAAAACACCATACTGGAAGGAGTACTACCAGGACAGCAAGCTTTGGACTTCCTCCATGGAAGTATGATGTCTTAGATCAACATGTCTTTGGGATGGGGAGACAAACTCTGGAATTATCTATACAAGAATATGTGAACATTCAACTAATACTACCTACAGAAGTTCAGTCAACCTTTCACATTTAAATCTAAAGGCAAAGAGCTAGAAAGATGAGTGAATAAAAATGGAGCAAGAATCAGGTACAATGTGCTTATTGTCTTTTATTGATCTCATTATTTACATAACCAAGCAGAGAAAAACTTTATTTCGTGAGGAAACATTTCATCTGTATATTTCACTTCAGAGCACAAAGTGCATTTATTTACATGAAATTTACTCCTTTTGCTTTTTTTGCTTGCTTTCCTCGAGCCCTAAAAGCACTGCATCAGCTTCTAGCAAAGTTGTATCAGTTGTTGCACCCAAGAACCTAGACGTGAGTTCAAGATCCAGCAGTCTCAGGCGTACTTGGGTTCCTCTCTGGTATTTTCTGTGAAGAAAAGTGGAGAGAGAGAAGAAGGTAAGTTTTGTTAAGCAATGGTCTTGCGTCTCCTAAGGTTGCTCTCCCGCCTGCAGACCTAAGTAGCAGTCCCTACAAAACACCATGCTGCAATGGAAGTCCAACACTGTTGTAATGCATCAGCACTAAAACTGCTGGGACACACTCTGTGAAACCACAGAGCTGGCCTCTGTTGATACAGTCCTGCCCAGGGAAGAGCAGACACCACCAGATCCTGCTGAGGGAATGCAGGCGCTACAGGAAAGCAGTTATTATATACAAAACTGTCTGTGTCTTCTATCAAAATATTTTATTGTATCATCTGCTATCATGCATACAATTATCTGCAGGACAACATGTCATTAAAGGGGAGGACAAGTCATCATTAGATCACTGGTGACATAGCTATTATCAAAAAAGCAGAATGCCACCTAACTATGGTTTATATTTCCAACTCTGGGCCTTGGGCAAGGGAACTTTTCTTGTCTTATCCCCTCCTCCAAAGAGTAGGTATCATCTCCAAGTTTTTTACTACATATAATTAAAAAGAAACCCCACAACTATTGTAATGAAACATTCCGCCTACAGGGTTGGGTTTTATTGTTTTACGCTCTTTTTTTTTTCTTTCGCCTTTTAAGTCGGAAGATGAGAGCGTTCAGCATGTTTTACAAACAGACCCTGTGTCAAGATGGCCATGCCAAATTAGCAAAGATTTTTTAAATACTAGCATCTTTTATAATGCACCTGGAGAGCTACTGATCAAAACCCAACAATAAAACTGAGAATTATTCTTCTTTTGAAAGTTCAAGCCATATCCATTTTTCTTCTAATCAAAGCATAAGGAGCTGAAGATGCCTCAAGCTTGAATGCCTTCAGCAAAAGCAGAAGAAAGGTTGAAACATTCTCCAGTTACAGACTGGAGAAAATGCAACAGGGAAGTCTGGTTAAATTCATTTCCACCGTGTTCATTTTCACCTTCAGCCTGGGCAGACAATCTTTACTGTCTCACAACTGTTTGCTAGCACAGAGGAAAAGTGAACCAGGTTTCAACTTTCTTCAGCACATCAAACCAAGATACTTCTGGAAAACTACACATCTTAAGAAAAGATGCTGGACTCGTCCCAGTGATTCCTGTGATGATCTGCAAGAGTCAACGCAGCGAAAATACTGCACCCTTTCCTGAAACCATAAAACTCAAGTCCTTCATCTGCTCAAAATACAAGTAACCACCGTCGCAGTGAAGAGTACGGCACAGAGTACCAAAGACGGAGAGCAGCGTCTGTGAGGTTGTTACCTGAATAGCTGGAAAAGATCAATTCTGCCCATTTCTGTGCAAAATATTTGCATTTCAAAACAGAACAATTTCACAGCTGATGGCAGTAATTCAGTAATGTGCAACATTTCAGACGAATAAGACAAGGGAAAAACAAAATTAAAAGACCATGGACAAAATGGATGGTATTTTTCAGGATTTGTTATGCTTATTCTCCAAAGTAGTCAGGATGTTTTGGGATAAGAAGGGTAATGAAGAGGAAAGCTCCTCACTCCTTCCAGCAGCCAAGAGCTGAACCTTAAATGAAGATACCAGCTGACTAGTGATTTAGTCATTTGGGTACATGGGAGAAACCTACAGAAAATTCTCTAGCATGAACCCAACCTCTACCTTTCTGACAGCTGCAGGATAGATGGGTTGCTGTAGCATTCAACCACAAAGTTATCCTGATCTCTAACACTATCTTTGGCATAAATTGTCAGACTTTTCTACCTTTATCAATGACAGTGAGGAGTGGAAGGGACATGTAAGATAAATTAAAAAAAGAAGAGAGAAATTAACTTTTAAGAGGAGACAAAAGAAGAGGGAGAGAATGATCTCTAAGAGGGAGAACTGGTCTGTGGAAACAGAAAACAGGGAGCTGACACCTTACAATGAGAAAAAAAAGAGGCTTGGGAAGAAAGGATAAATGGTAAAGTGGTGACAAGAAAGCACTGAAAACACTGCAGGTGAATAGTGTAGAAATGAAGGAAACCATATACAGGGCAGAGCTACAGAAGAGGAAAAAGTCACAGAAAAGCAAAGACTGCATAAAACTACTAAAGTTTGAGTGACACTAAACTCAGACCTGTAAACTACAACATTCTGTCCTGCTTTTAAAAAGATGAAGGACATGCTTTTAACCTAATAAAACTTAATACTGAAACTAGTGGTTCTGCAGCAAATTTTAAAGACCAGCAATCCGTCTGCCTTTTTCTCCTCTCCTTTCTCCTAGAGGAGAAGCAGCTCAGCAATAATGTCAAGACAGATGCTATGGCAAAAGCCGGCATCACGGTCCAACACTTTTCTACAGAAGACTGAACTGAACAAGGTTCAAAATGAATTAGAGGTATTGAGTTCCATCTTTATAACTGATATACAAAATATTACTTTCATCATGCAACAGTTCCTTTTGGGCTAGTTGCTAGACTACTGTGGTTAAATGTTTTGCAAGTGAATAGATGAAACTAATTTTTTCTAATCAAACCTTTGAAAGTGCTATTTAGAACCAGGAAAGTGCATGAGAAAAGTCTGTGAAGAAACCGTACTTCTCATGATTAAAAAAACTAATTTAATAATAAATTAATAACCTCAAGCATGACTTCCCCAATTTTAGCATTATGAAGACTGTTCAAATATCCAGACATCACTTTAGCATATATTTGTAATGCAAAATCCAAGCAATTGTATTTTTTAAAAAATACCACAATCTTCAGTGCTGCTTCAGTAACTCAAACAGATTCCACATACTTTAATCAAACTTAAATCAATCACTAAAGAAGATTTTCCAGTCACAGCACATCTGCTTACAAAGAGATCCTGAAGAACATCACTTTAAGGAGCTGACATAACTGCCAATTTGTATGACTATAAACATTTGGGTTTGTGACAGATGTTCCCTACAGCTAAAACACTTCAGAATAAATGAGAAGTGGAAGACGTAGAAAAAGTAGAAACATGAACACAAGTTGCAGTGGTGGTCTATCCACCACATTTAGAAGAAGGGGAAATGATAGGTTGCTCTATGCATAGTAGGCATATTCTATCCACAAAGGTATTTATTGTTAAAACAGATAAAACTATCCTATGGTTAAAGGAGAAGCTTGAAGCAGGACCCAGAAACAAAGCAGGCATTTTATTATTTTCAGGACCGGTGTCCTAGGAGACACAGGACACCAGCATAAAAGGAAAGAAAGGGTCTACTCCATTTTGCAAAAGGACTTGCTTTATTTTTAAGTAACAATGCTGCCATTCAAGATCACCCTATCTCATGACCATCAGCAAAAAAAAATTCGCGCAACCCCCAAGCACTGTGTTTGTCCATGATGCACTGTTTTCCTCCTACCACTTCCTAAGAGTATTAAATTCACTTCAAAGTACACAAAAATATTTTGGTTGCATACATAAGTGAAGGTATAGGGATATTCTACAGAACTTTAAAAAATTATTTTGCAAGTAGAGTCGAAGCTTTCTCCACCTTCCAGAGATTTATTTACAAGAGGTACCAATTTTAGCCCTTTGGGAACACCAGTTTTGCATAGAAGGACTCCACTAACACTCAGCATCAGAGGTGGGAACCCACTGGCTGCTGCCACCGAGCCCTGATCCCATCTCAAGCTAGTGTTGGTAGAGCACTGAAGCACCCATCAGAAACCTTCACCTGAACTCCAGGCAAGAATCAATAGGTTCCAAAAAGCTTTCTCTATTTTGAATGAACGCTTGCAGGCTTCTCTCCATCTCTTCCAGAGCGAGCCAAGTTCTGTGTACAGGTGCACCTCTCCTCAAATGTCCCCTTCCAGAAGATGACTGTAAGCTAAGTTGAAGGCAACCCAAATATTTGTTCCAGTGCTCTTGTAATTTTTGGACTGTCATGGAAAATAATTTGAAAAGAAGCAGGATGAAAATCCTTTTTCTTATTTGAACCCTAAGTCTGTACAAGGATACCTCACCAATATAACACAGTATGTAAGAGCACAGAGAAAGCATACAGTACAGCCTTGCTAATGCTGCTTAACAAAACTTTAAAAGCAAATACAAAAATTTATCTCCTCTTATTACATTAAAAGTAGGGCCTTTTATCTTTGCATGCAAAGATACATAAAGTAGATCTTCTCTTTGCTGAACACACATAAATAGCACAGCGTGTACTTCCATACTTAAGCAACATGGAAGCTTCCTCCTGACTGGCTATATCCCTTTTATTGCAATTTAGTCCCTATCCTAATAATTTCACTTTTGCACTGGAGCTTTAAATCTCTCAAAATTTTAATGATAAATTAAAGGAAACAGCCCAAAACCCCAAAACTCTTCAGTCAAGTTTTTAAACGTAATTTTTAAAAAGTAAGTAATTTTACTCTGTCCCCTTAAAAAAATCTGAGGTTTTTGTTTATACATATATTTTTACATCATAAAATTGAAGAGGGAGAATATGGAACGATGTATTTAAGTTCTTGCTAACTTTCAAAAAAACAGGGGGGAATGTTCTTTTTTAATTTAAAAGTCATTTCAGGCTACAGCAAAAGGATTACAAAGGGAGTTAACTTGGAAAACAATGAGCATGTAAAAACAAGGAGGCTATAACTAAAAGTGGTTTTTTGATCCTAATTATACCATTTGCTACCAAGAAAATGGGACAGCAGTTTCGCAGGTGTGCAATTTCACATGTAGAGGAAGCATCTTCATTACTACATAGCATCAAGAATTTTATTCAAACTCTAAATTATAGGTATAGACATTGAAGCATTTTGTTAAACTATCCAATATTTAAAACTGCTTGTGAACACAAATTAGCAAGCAGTCCTTTTTCTATTAAAACTACTCAAGCTATTAGTTTAAAATTTAAAGCAACAAACCTTCTATTCTTGGAAACAGTACTACAGAAATAACAATGCAATTACAGAAAGGGTTGAGTCTCACCAGGTGTTGGCTACTATTTCCCCCTGTCCTGGTTTTGGCTAGG